TCTTTTCAGCCCTGCACTCTAATTTATCCTCCCCTTTGATAACCAACTCCAAACACATTCAGCGGAGGCCGGGCCATCAGTGCACAAAGGCCCGTGCTCTCCCGGATGAATGCAGCACTTCACTCTTGGGGGGATTTCTATAGAAGGCAAAATCCACCAAACAAGCTATTACACTTAAATCAGACAATGCCCGAGGTGGCAGCGAGGAGCCCAGCGTTAATGACTCAGCTAGCAGCGGGCTTCTCTATTTTGAAGCTCTACCCCAGCATGGGAGAACAACCCGCTGCCCTTCCCAGCCTCTGCCAGATCCCTCTCCTGCTCCCGGATGACCCTCTGTGTCTGCTGGTTCTCTGAATCCTGAGCCTGGATTCCCTGTAGGCCCACTTCAACTGACTCTTGATTCCCTCTCTGTCTGGGAAAAAGAACAGAGAAGTGAAGTCCGGCAGCTCCTTTCTCTCTCCTTCATGCTAAAGAGGAGGAAACCATGGTAACTGTTGAGAGCCAGCGTTAGCTGGTGACAGAGCCAGAACTAGAACCCTGATCTCTTATATCATTTCATTAACACAAAAACTAATACAAACCAGAAGACGCACATAATATACACTTATTGTAGTTTCTGGTACATGCCTGCACTCAGTAAATGCCGATTGTTGCTATTTATTATAGTGGGAGTGACATCATTTTATATAGTACTCGTGGAATGCCTCCTATGAGGCACACAGTCTGCAGGGTGCCTCTCATCTCATAGTGAACATGAACCTGACACAGCCCTGCCTCTGAGGCTTACACTCAAATGGGAGATTCCAATGGGCTGATGCCATAGGGAAAGGTAACAGCACAGGGAAGGAAAAAGTGCTTTGGGAGGCCATACTCTCATCCAGACTTTGTGGCTTAGTGAAAAGAAATTGGTGTTACAACCGAGAACAAAGAGTGAGTCAAAGTTCACTAGGTGAAGGGAAGTAGGAATGAAGGGACAGGTCAGTCTAGAATTTTCTAGACAAAGGGAATAATCAAGTATGGAAAGATGAATGACAAATGCAAAAGGGAATAGAGGCAAGATGCATCTAAGGAAAGAAAAAAACATCAACATGCAGAGACACCTGCATAATATTGGGCAAGGACAGAGTGGAGAGAAGCCAGTAGTCCTGAGGCCTTGGACAAGAGAAACAGGCACAGATCATCTCACGAATGACATGGTGAGCCATGGAAAGGAGCCTGAGGAGGAAGGGATGATCCATGGACAAGTGGAGATCACAGGCCCTGCTGTGACAAGAGGGGCCAGCAGCCAGTAGGTCAGGCACCAGTTCAGCCCTTGTCCCATGTTCTATTTCATCCAGTTATGTGGTTCTCATCTTCAGTCACCAAATAAGTCCTACCATGCAGAGAAATCATGAAGGAGAAATAAGCTGAAAGAGAGCTGTGACCCCACTGGAGAAGAGGGATAGAACAATGACTTTCCCTGACAACGTGAGCCATTACCCAAAGAGCCTGAAGCACCATGTGGGGACCCGAAGATCTCCTGCACCAACCAGATACGTGACCTTGGGCAACCTCAATCCCCACCTTCACAACAAAGACACTTACTAAGTAATTGGTACACTGCCTTGCGGTCCTCACATTCTGTGCTTCCATTACTTGAAGTATATACCTTGTTATTTTTATTCTGAGATGACTTATTTTGTATTTTAAATGTTTGTAAAGCCAGGGGAAAAAAATGTTCTCATCTTATAATAGAGAAAACACAGCTCAATCAAAATCAGGTATCCTGCGCAATGATCAAACGCTTCTTTTTCTGGGTTCTTGTCATTTCATCCAAGAAAGGTCTGGCTCTGACACCAGCCAGGAAAAGCTGGTTGGAAGCTGCATTCTTGAGCTGCTCTGGCCTTGCCTAGCTGCCCAGCATGGACCCTGCTCTTCAGGAAACCCTTTTTCCCAGGCCCTCTGCCCTCAGGCCTGCAGGAAGGAAATTCTGCAGAGAGCCACACACTCTCATTTTGTCCAACAGCTCTGGCAGCTGCTTAGGTAGAGGCCAAAGTTCCAAGGGTTTTGGGCAGGTGAACAAAAAACAAATTCAGGCTGGGGTGGGAGAAGAAAAAACAACCTCTGAGCTGTTTTTGGCTGGAAAATGTTCTTTATCCATGGCTTTAGGACACAAGCAACATAGCATCCAGAGGCGCACAGCTGCATGGAACAATTCAAAAATTGCCTTGTTGGACTACAACGTGCCAATTTTTCAAATCCAGAGCCATTTTCAGTATTACAGTGTGTGCAGCCTAAGCCTGGAGAATTTTCTTCTGGGAGGGAAAATTGATTCCAAGGTTACCATTAACCCCCATTATCACAGCACGCCCCATTCCAAAACTATTCTTGGGAACCAAGGGGGCTAGAGGAAGTTTCAGAGACCCATGGTGAGGTTGGTACCCAACATCACGGGTGCTAACGGCCAAAGTCCATTAGCCCCATGTCTCAGAAGGGCATGAGAGCAAGTGAGATGGAAACAGGGAGAGAAGCAGCATAAAAGGGTCTGGCAATTTTTTTCCAGGGATTTCTGGACTTTGCCAGTTTGCCCTGCACATCACACTTCACACGGATGGAGTGGGAACTTGCATGAGCTGAATAGCAGGAAACAAGGCTGACACCTGCACTGGTCCTCTTCACGTTGACCTGATATCTCTGTCCAGACTGCCCACTCCAGCAGAGGCTAGAGTCTTACGTGGTGGAGGAATGTCCTTCAGGAGCTGGTTTAGAGACCGCCCATCTGGTCTCCGTGTATGTACCCAACTGCCCAGGGCCCACATCTTTTGGGTCCAGAAGGATAAGGCATCTGGTTTTGTCCATTCCAGATGCTCCATATGGAAAAATCACACCTGAGAAATTGAGACAGGAGGATCACAAAGTTCAAGTCCAGCCTGGGCAACTCAGTGAGACCTTGGAATGAAAAAGGCTGGGGATGTGGCTCATTGGTAGAACATTCCTGGGTTCAATCCCTAGTACCATACAACAACAAAAACAACAACAAAACACACAACAAAAATGGAAAATCACTCCAACCCATTCTAAACACAGTCTAGAGAAAGCAGCCTGAATCATAGGATGCTACGACCACCTCCACTTCCCAAATCTACCAACCCAGCCAAGAAGCCAGTGGTGACTGTGGCTACCATGAAATAAGGAAAGACAACTAAGTAGACAGAGTGGGCAGTATGTGTCCAAGGAGAGCCCATTTGTTGATCTCATCAGTAAAATTTTCCTCCTTTCTGATAACATAGCAGGAGGCCCTGGTCATGTATTCAGAAAGCCCAAGTATGACTTCTGGCTCTGCCACTTGAACCTTGGATTACTTATTACTAGTCCCTAAGCCTTTGTTTCTTTTCCTATTACCTAGAAACAAAAATAAACACCTAACAAAGTTGCCAACATTTAACGAGATAATATGGGAAAATGACAGATAGTGTTCAACAAATTATACACGCACTCACATATACATACAACATTGTCCCTGTCAACATAATGTTCTACCCAGCTGTTCCCAAATATGTAAATATATTTAATGAATTAATGAAAGGAGTTTGATATCTATAGTATAGGTTAAAGTATACACACACTTATAAAGCAACCCAGTATCCATTCTAAAATGTTTCTCCATTGTTCACAGCCTGGTTCTCTTAGGAGTCTGCTTCAGAGTCTTAATATTGTGATTACATTTTTGGCCAGTTCTGAACTTTAAACGTTCCTCCTACCCCGCCCCTAGCCTATCTCTGTCTCTCCTCCCGTGGCCCCAATAAGCCACCTTCCTCCTCTCCACAGATGTCATCAGCTCACCTGGCTGTCCTCTTCTCTCTGAAGTGTCTTCCTGAAAAGCAAAGAAGGCCTCAAGGGTGCCGGAAGTACTGAAGAGAGGCAGTCACTTCAATTCCGAGCAAACATTCAAAGCATCTGCCATGGACAGGCCTTGTGCTAGGCCCTGAAGCACTGGATGAGCAAGACCCTTCCCAGTCTGACCCTCTAAAGGTTTCCATGAAAGCGGAGACAAAAGATCCACACAGTGCTTATTAGAACAACGCTCTAGTGAGAGAGGACAGGTGCACCCTAGGGAGGCCGGACAGATGGGGGTCACAAGGAAGGAAGCTCAAGGAGGGCGCCCCCAGGAGCCACATCGTGATTGCATCCTTGCCCGCAGACACTGGGAAATTGACCTCCCTTAGTCACCGGGCGATTTGTGTGGGAGGGGACGGGAGCGCAGGGCTAAGTGCTGACGGGACGTCCCTGTCAACACAATGTTCCGCCTGGCCGGGCCTTCATATATAAAGATATTTAATGAATTAGTTAATTAATGAGAGGAGTTTGATTGATAGATCATATGGCGTTCGCAGCAGGGTGAGTCTGACCCCGATATCGCCGCCTCGGCTGCAATCGGTCCCCCTCATTGGTCGGGAGAGTGCGGTCGCTCCAGCAATTTGCATGCATTTAATGTAGCTCTTTAATAGGATGTAATGTTAGCGAAAGCCAAAAGCGCAGCAGCTGTAACTTAAAAGACAGCCCCATTACTGCAAGCCTTATAATTAGGGTAAGAGGGAGACTCGGTCTGCCATATGTTAAACTCTTTTGAGGTTAATAGCTCTGTAAGATTTTTGCAATTTAAAAAAATTACACTTGAAGGATGATGACAAGGCTCATCAATGAGGCGCCTCTGCACCGGAGGGAAGGGCCAGGAGGATCTCATGTACCCCCAAGGCCCCTTTCCCAGGGGACAGGGTAAGGTGGCCCATCTCCTGCCCCAAGTCGCCCAGTCTCCCCTCCTTTTCTCCTCTCTGCCCGGGCTTTCCCTAACCTAGTTCCATTAGCGCAAAGTTGCTCTTTCACTCGCGGAATCGGATCTCGTCCCACCTGGCTCTTCGCAGCACCCAGCGTCCACCGGTCCCCCACATCCGGCGGAGAGAGGGTGGCGCCAGGCGAGGCTGTGCGCACTGGGGCGGGGGAGAAGCCTCGCACGTGCTTACCTTGCAAAGTCCCAGGCAACTCCAGAGCAATTACGGGTCCCCGCAGGTTACCTGGTCTTGATTGCACAGCCGGGGCCCGAATCAGGGAACACGCAGCAGGCACTGCCCGGGGGAGGAAAGGAAATCGCCGGGAATTTGCTTGGTAATTACCTGGCACTAGGCCTTGAGGGTGTTTGTCCCCTCTGTGCCACAGCCCTAGTGGCGAGGGGGCGCGAGAGCGAGGTGGTACCGTGTCCTATGCCCAAGGAAACAGAGTCCGGCATGTGAGCCCTGGAGCGCTGCCCTCTGCACCCCATCTGCGACACGTAATAGGAAGGCCTCTATTGCAAAAAAACCACCGAGTCCCTGAGGAGTCCAGCTGCACCCTCCCAGCCTCTGGTGCCTTTCCCAAGTCTCCCTCCCCAGCAGCCCAGAGGGCAAGGGGTGGGGGAAGGTCTGGGGGGAGTCCTTGTAGAAACCAGAGACTGTCTCTGGAGATTAGCGCAATCTCCTCCTGCACTGTCCCCTCCCACAGTCTGTGCTCTGCAGGGGAGCGGAGAAGAGCTGCCCGCTTGGCAGATTCTCTCCCCCAGGAGTTCTGCCTCCCGCATCCTTCCCCTCCCCCTTCCCCTCGCTTCCCCGTGGAACGCGTGGGTGTCCGACCAAATTTCTGATGACAGACACTCCAGACAAAACAACAACAAGGGAAAGAAAAGAAATCCCTCATTTTTTTTTTAAAGGGGGCTCTTGTTAGAAGGAAATTACAGGAGGGATAAAATTACTGCTAATTGCACAATTATCTAATTATCTCTGGTACCAAAAATACATGAGATCTCCGCGCCCCCCACCCCCAGCCACTTAAAGAATTCTCAGGGAGTCGCCACTTGGAGAAGAGACACATCTTTCTTGTCAAAATGTGGATGGACCAAAGAATATGAGCAAAGGAGATATGTTGGTGAGGATATAGCAAAGAGAAGGTGCAGGGGATCAAATGCAACCCCCAGAGAAGAAGGGCAAAATTGGAACAGGATGAGAAGGCAAAGAGTGGACAAGAGAGGGTAGCAGAAGATGGGTATTCTTGTGAATTTATATATATATATATATATATATATATATATATATATATATATATATATATATATATATATATATATCAGAGCTAAAAGGGATTGAAATTACTTTAATTCCAACATTATCCCAATGTCATAGTGACATCTGAAAGGGCTGACATCTGAAAGGGTCAGGTCTTCTTTCAGAGGCTTAGGAGCTGGGAAGGGTGGATAGGATGACAGGTATTGGAGGGGAGAGGGTGGGGGCTGGTCACACCGGGTTCCTTGCTAAATTATCACTGGCTTTTTGGGACAGAGATTGTGGTCAGCTTCCATGGCCAAGTTTAAAAAGAAAGAAAAAGCCCTCTTCAGCTGCATGTAGTGGTGCATGCCTGTAATCCCAGAGGCTGAGGCAGGGTGGTCACAATTTCCAGACTAGCCCAGGCAATTTAGACCTTCAGCAACTTCCCAAGACCCTGTTGCAAATTTAAATAAATAAATAAATAAATAAGGGCTTGGAATGTAGATAAGTGGTAGAGCACTCCAGGCTTCAATCTCCAGTAGGGGAAAAAATACACTTTGTATTCAGCATCTTGAATCGAAGTGCTACCTTAGTGTAACTGTTTATACCAGTATAAAAGTGAACTCTGTAAATAATGATATGGGTGTACTTAAGGGAAGAAAGAATTTTCCGGCTCTGGTTTCTCTTTAGAACCCTGCAAGGGGTCAACAAAGGGCATTGCTGGCCAGTTCCCGAGTGATAACGATTTATGTCTGGGAGGTGGGCAAAGCATGTTTCCTCCATATTGCAGAATAAAGCCCTGATTTCTGATGTTAAAAAAAAAAAAAAAGTGAATCCAACAGCAACAGCTAACTTTTCCTTCTGCTTTATGATTTATAAAGTGTCCCCATTTGCTTTATCTTGTGATTCTGTTACTTACCCTGTTCTGTTGCTATCCCCATTTTCAAATGAGTTTAACCAAGATTTAGAAAATGTTAAAAATTCCCAAGGTCTCAGGACCTGTCACCAGAACACCCAAGGTTCCAAGACTGGCAGCCCTGCGTTGCACCTGGGAGCCTTCCTTGGGGAAAAGAGCCTGGTCTTGAGGGATTTCTCTACACAAAACTGATGACATGTAAATAGGGTACTGAAGCTGGGTTTCATGGTTTTCTTTACACTCGTTATTTTTGTAGGTCAGTGGCTCCGGCTCTCTTTCCGCTTGGATGTGGCCCAGTCATCTGGAGCTATTTTCCCACGGGAAGGCACTTCACTTGGTGCACCAGCCTGAAATGTCATTTTCGGGTCACTAACGACACCTCAGCTCCTTGCTAGAAGGAAGAGCCACTGGAAGGATGCAGAGTCCACTTTTCTTCCTGTTCCCCCGCCTCCTGCCCTGTCAGCCAATCAGGATTAGGAATGAGACTAACTTTATTCCCCAGCCTCCCAACTGCCACAGCTGGGGAAGGCAGAAGTCCAGAGGCTCCCTCTCCATGAACCTTGGGAATCCCCTGCAGATTTGAGGGCCCTTGCAGCTGTCCAGAGACTCCTTGGCAGTCTAAGCCATCACTCCATAATCACCACATCCCCACCATGCGCTCTCCTGCTGAGCACCAATGGTGGCTTCAGAATTACCATCCACAGATCAATAGCGGGGTGATTACTGGGCCTTGTGCACACCCAGCAGGACTCCCTCTAGATAGAGGTGCATGGAGCCGCATGCAGGAACATAAGTTCCCTTCATTAGGGCAGCTGGGCTCCAGGAAGACCAGCGCAGGGTGTTTGTGGAGCCATGTCTCTGAACTAAAGATGAGTGAGGATGACAGAGTTCACCTCTGAGAAGGGGCCTATTCACTCATCTGACCAGTTCCCAGCATTCATCCCCCCTGACACAGCCCACTGGAGACAGGTTAATGAAAAGTAAACAAACGGCTACTTCCCACCAACCTCCCCTTGATAGGAGGTCCCTTGGGCTAAAAGGTCAATGCTCAGTCAAGCAGGATGTCTGAGGCTAGTGCAGACAAAGAGTGATAGCTTAGGGCTATCTCTTGACAAGAGCTTCCTTGACAAGGCCCCAGGCTGTAGGGAAACTTCCCTAAGACTCAAACCCTCCATTTATTCTTCAGACAACACACCTGTGCTACAAATGCTGAGGACACAAAGACAAATCAGAGTTATCCTTCCAGGGGTTTATAATCTTGGGGGGGCGGGGGGGAAATAGACACATGCCTAGTAAACCTGGAGAATATTAGATACCTCCAAGTTCAACACCCGCAAGTTACAAAGAGGAGGAAACTGAAGGCCAGAGAGTGAAATGACTTGAGGGACATTATTCAGCATACTGGTGGAAGAGTCCTAGTCTGGAACCAGGTGACCTGACTCTTCCCACAGCAAGGCAGAATTAAGTAGGTGCTGGCTGGCTGTCTCTTGGCCTAGCCAGAGCAGCTCATCTTCCTAGCCTTTTCCGCCTTCCCCACCTGCTCCTTTCTTGTAGGTTCTGCTGCATGATTAACAGCTACTACTCCATCTTGCCTGCTCAGTCAAAGGTTTGAGGGCTCATTTCCACCCAGCAGAGGGATTGATAACTTTAAGTTATTGAATTGAAATATGAATTTCTTCTTTAACACTGTCTATAATGGAGAACGTGACATCTCTTTGAGTAAATAACTTAAGTTATTAATCATGGGTGTTTTTGTTGTTGTTGTTGTTGTGTGTGTGTGTGTGTGTGTGTTTCACCTCTATCACCACTGGAAAGCAAGTGTCAAGTTCAGGTGTTTTGTTCATAGTACCTAGAGCACTAGCACGCTCGTAGCAGATGCTCAATAAATATTGAGTAAATTCATGACTTAAATAATGAATCAAGAGTCTCCAAATATGAGAGCTGGGAGAGACTTTGCCGATAAACTGATGATCAGTTTGTGGTGAGAATGGAGGCCAGAGAGGTTTTATTGTTTTGTTTTTTCCTTTGTTGTTTTTGTAGTGCTAAGGATTGAACCCAAGGCCTCACACATATTAGGCAAGTGCTCTATCACTGAGCCACGCCTCCAACCCTCTTTCTTTTTTCTTTTCTATAATACTTCCAGCTTATGAATTTGTTCATTCATTCATTCACTTGTTCACTTAGAAAATAGTTATTGGATACTGTTACTTACTACTCAAAAAACAATATTATTATTACCAAACAAAACAAAATGAATATTAACCTTAATGTAATAATATTGACCCCTTTGTCCCAGATATCTTGCTAAGCACTTTACATCCGTTATCTCATTTGAACAACTAAGCCTAGTATTTCTATTATCCTCCATTTTACAGATGATAAAGGTAAGGCTCAGAGAGGTTAAATGATCTGCCCTAATTACATAGTAGAAATTGGAGGAGATGAGACCCACACAAAGCTGTTCGAATTCAAGCTCTTTTACTGTACCACTATATCCTGTTGTCCCTCTCTCCCTTTCCTTTTTCATTCCTGTCTCTGAGACCAAACTAAATGGCCCAACCAAGGTGGCAGGAGAGTCAGCCAAGGTCACCCAGAGCTGGAGCCCTTTTGTGGCTGCACAATCATGCTACTTCAAATACCCCTTGGAAGCCACCTCTTCTCACCCCATCTGCTCACCTGCTCCTGGCCCCACACTCTGAGCCCCACATACAGACACCAGTGTGATTCACAGCACAAAGATTGGTCCCTGGGAAAGAGGGCTCATAAAACCTTACAGCAGCTTTATAACGTATTCTTAGCTTTTACAGGCGTGCTGGGCGGCTGAGGCTGGTGAGCAGCAAAGTGCCTTGAGCGGATGGGTGGGCCTCCTGGACCCAGAATTGTGGGAACAGCTGCGAGGAAGACAGCAACATCTTTTAGCTCCCTGAATGGGGAGGAGCAAGATCAAAAAAAAAAAAAAAAAAAGAGCATTTCCTCAGTTCTTTATTTAAAAGAACTCTGAGTGTCCACCAGGTGAGCTAGGTACACTTCCTGAGCCACCGTCGACGGACAGCGCCAGAACTCAGGAGTAGGCTTTCCTTCTGGAGATCCAGCCTGGGTTCTCCACCTGGGATGGACTAGCAGGCGTGGTACTGATGCTTGGTGACCTCAGCCTCATCTGCCACAGAGACAGCTCCCAGCAGGGTCCTCCTCAGGAGGAGGTAAAGTCATGGAGTGACTGTTTTCACCACTTGTGGGGTCTCAGCCCAGGCTCCATCTGTCACCAGCACATTGAGAACAGCCTCCAAGTAAATTGCTGCTCCCAGCGCCTAAGGACTGGGGAGATGCTACCCGTGGCTGCACTCCCGGGGGCCTAGCTCAGCTCCTTCGTCTCCCTCCACAGTCCTCCCTACTCTGCTCTGATAACCCATGTCCACGCAGAGGAAGGGGGCTCAGAGCGATGGCCATGCCGCAGAGCTGGAATCACTGGCACTATTTTATTCGTTTGAATGGCTCTTCAATTCCTGACGTAAAATAAGCAAAGTGGGTCTTCTCAT